GGGAGAACAGGAGGCCAGGGTTTACAGAATACAGTAATATAGAAGAAAGCACAACACAGAGAGAAAACTCTGGAAATCTGTAGATAAGTGTCCTCAAGTAATCAGCAGAGAACTAATCAGCCCATGTGTGTGAGAAAACCACCTAGAGGCAGACAAAGGACCACATTATTAAGAGTAATGGAACATTTTCAAAGATAGACCACATAACAGGACACAAAGCAAGCCACAACAAATCCAAGAATATTGAAATCATATCTAGCATTTTCTCAGATCACAATGGCTTGAAACAAGAAACCAACCTCAAGGAAAAAACTCAAAAACAACAAAATGCATTGAGACTGAATAACAATGAATGAGTAAACAATGAGATCAAGGAAGAAATCAAAACATTTCTGGAAACAAATGAAAATGAACACACAACAATCCAAAACCCATGGGACACAGCAAAGGCAGTCCTAAGAGAGAAGTTCATAGCAATACAAGCCTATCTAAAGAAGATAGAAAATTTTAAAATAAATGACCTAATCTCAAATATACAAAAACTAGAGGAAAAACAACAAACAAAGCCCAGAATGAATAGCAGGAACGAAATAATCAAGATCAGAGCAGAATTAAATGACATAGAGATTAAAAGAATAACTCAAAGAATCAACAAATCCAGAAGTGGGTTATTTGAAAAGATAAACAAAATCAACAAGCATTTAACCAGACTCAACAGGAAAAACAGAGAGAGGACCCAAATAAATAAAATCAGAAGTGAAAGAGAACTTACAACTGTAACTACAGAAATACAAAATATCATAAGAAAACCTGAGTGAAATGAAAAAAATTCCAGAAACATATAATCCTCTGAAACTGAGTCAAGGAGAAGCAGAAAGCCTGAGTCGACCAATATCAGCTAGTGAAATTGAAGCACTAATAAAAAACTCCCAACACAAAAAAGACCTGGACCAGAAGGTTTCACAGGAGAATGTTACCAAACATTTAGAGAAGAACTAATCCCTATCCTTCTCAAACTATTCCAAAAAACGCCAAAAGAGGGAAGTTTTCCAAATCCTTTTTATGAGGCCAGTATTATCCTAATTCTAAAACCATATAAAGGCACAACAAGGAGAGAGAACTCCAGGCCAATATTGCTGATGAACATAGATGCTAAAATCCTCAACAAAATATTGGCAAACCACATCCAGTAATACATTAAAAAGGTCATAGGCCATGACCAAGTGAGATTTATCCCAGGGATGCAAGGATGGTACAACATTCACAAATGAATAAGTGAAATACATCACATAAATAATATGAAAGACAAAAACCACATGATGATATCAATAGGTGCGGACAAAGCATTTGATAAACTATAGTACTCATTTATGATAAAAAACACTCAGCAAAGTGGAAGTAGAGGGAGTATACCTCAACATAATAAAGGCCCTATATGAGAAACCTACAGCCAACATCATACTCAACAGGCAAAAACTAAAAGCTTTCTCACTAAGATCAGGCACAAGACAAGGGTGTTTGCTTTCACCACTTCTATTCAACATAGTATTGGAAGTTCTAGCCACAGTGATCAGACAAGAAAAAGAAATAAAAGGCATCCAAATTGGAAAGGAGAAAATAAAACTGTCACTGTTTGCAGATGACATGAGAGTGTACACAGAAAACCCTACAGACTCCAACAAAAAACTACTCAACCTAAAAAATGAATTTGGAAAAACAGTGGGATACAAAATCAGCATTCAGATATTGAAGGTGTTTTTGTACACCAACAATGAAATATCAGAAACAGAAATTAGGAAAAAATTATATTCACTATAACAAGAAAAATAAAATACTTAGGAATAAACTTAACCAAGGAGGTGAAAGACCTGTACTAAAACAAAAACTACAGAACTCTGAGGAAAGACATTAATGAAGACACAAATAAATGGAAGCATATACCATGTTCATGGACAGGACAAATTAATATCATTAAAATGTCCATACTACCCAAAGCAATTTATAGATTCAATGCAATCCCTATCAAAGTAACAATGACATATTTCACAGATAAAGAACAAATATTTCAAAAATTTATATGGAACCATAAATGACCCTAAATAGCTGCAGCGATTTTGAGAAAGAAGAACAAAGTAGAAGGCATGACAACCCTGATATTGAACTATATTATAAGGTCACTGTAATCAAAACGGTCTGGTATGGTCACAAAAACAGACACATAGACCAATGAAACAGAATAAAGAGCCCAGAAATAAACCCATGTCAATATGTTTGGTTAAACGTTAATATTGGCAAAGGGGAGAGGAACATAAAAATGGAGTAAAAATAGCCTCTTCAACAAATGGTGTTGAGATATATGGTCAACTACATGCAAAAAGAAAATGAAATTTGACCACCAACTTATACCATACACCAGAATAAACTCAAGATGGATAAAATACTTAAATATAAATTGTGACACCACAAAAGTCCAAGAGAAAAACATAGGCAGGGAAATTTCAGATATTCCATGCAACAATATTTTAACTGATATATCTCCTAGGACAAGGGACATAAAGGAAAGCAAAACAAATGGGACTACAGCAATTTTAAAAGCTTCTGCACTGTTAAAGAAAACATCAAAAAAATGGAAAAGAAACCAACTGTATGGGAAATCACATTTGCCAATGATACCTCAGAGAAGGATTTGATCTCAAAAATATATAAAGAACTCACATGACTCCACACCAGGAAAACAAAAAATCCAATTAAAAAATGGGCAAAGGACTTGAACAGATACTTCTCTAAAGAGAACATTCAGAGGGCCCATAGACACATGAAAAAATTCTCAAGGTCACTAGCCATTAGAAAGATGCAAATTAAAACCACAATGAGATGCAAATTCACACCAGTCAGAATGACTATTATTAATAAATCAACAAACAAGAAGTGCTGCTGAGATTCTGGGGAAAAGGGAACCCTAGTGAACTGTTGGTGGGAATGCAGATTGGTATAGCCGTTGAGGAAAACACTGTGGAATTTCCTCAAAAACTAAAGATGGAACTGCCTTTTGATTCAGCAATCCCACTGTTGGGAATATTTCCTAACAATCCTTAAACACCAATTCAAAGGATCCTATGCACCCCAATGTTCAGAGCAGCATTATTTACAATAGCCAAGTGCTGGAAACAGCCTAAATGCCCATCAGTAAGTGAGTGAATTAAAAAACTGTGGTACATTTACACAGTGGAAAACTATGCAGCAGAAAGAAAGAAGGAACTCCTACCCTTCAGGACAGCATGGATGGAACTAGAGAGCACTTTGCTAAGTGAAACAAGCCAGGTGGTAAAAAACAGATACCAACCATATGATCTCAGCTATAAGTAGAACCTAATCAACAAAACAAACAAATGAACAAAATAGAATCAGAGACATTGAAATAAAGAACAAACTGACAGTAACCAAAGGGGAGGGGGAGGGGGATAACAAGGAAAGAAGGTGAAGAGGCAAGCCAAAGAACATGAATAGAGGACTCCTGGGCACGGACAATGGATTAGATTGACTATGGGATTGGGGGGAATGGGGCATGGGAGAGCAATGGGGAAAAAGGCAGGGCAACTGTAACTGACATCAATAAATAAAACATTTTAAAAAGAGAGTAAAGGTAACAGTGCCTATTGCCCACACAGTCAAAAACAGCACCTATTCTTACAAGTCATACTAGATAATGGGGCAGTGGGTAATGCAAAGAAGTATTTTGTTTCAGTAGTGAGAAATAATTATCTGTACAATAAGTATATCAAAAAAGTACCACAGACTAAAAAAAAAGAAATTTTTCCAAAGAACTTAACTGCATCCTATAACAAAGCTCAAGAAGATTAATAAAAATACATAAAAAAACACTTAGAACCCCAGAACCCCACCAGGTAAAATTCACTATGTCTGACATCCAATCAAAGTTTACTAGTCATGTCAGAGAGGTAACCAAATATAACCCATAATAAGAATAATTAACAAATCAAAACTAATGTAGAACTGAAGTAGATATCAGAATTATTAGAGAACATTTCAAAAGTTACAATAGTTGTGTTTCATATGTTTAAAAAGTTAAGTAGATTTATCAAAGATAAAAAATAAAAATTTGAGAGATGAGAACTATAATGTTTAAGATGAAAATTACACTGGATGGAACTGATGGGAGATTATACATTACATAAATAAGGGATAATAAACGTTAAAGTATAACATGGGAACTATTCAATGGGAAGCACACAGAGAGAAAAAACAACTAATAAAATCAAGAGTGTCATGAGTTTAGCTGTATGACAACTTCAGATGTCCTGATGCACAATGAAGTGAAATCCCCAAAGTGGAGGGAGAGAGGGAAATAAATAAATATCTTCTTACAAAAGTAAAAATATAATTTAATAGAGACAGAATAATCTTACCACCTAATTGTGCTAAAAATATTGGACATCATTTACAAAAGAATAATCATTGAGATATGTCTCACACCTTAATTAATAAAAAGTCAATACTGATTACAGCCCTAAGGGTAAAATGTAATACTAAAACACCTCTAGAAGAAAACAACAGAAAACCTACAAGTGCTGGGTCTGATTAGAAGTTTTTACATATAATTTCAAAAGCATATTCATAAAAGAACATAGTAATTAATTAGACTTTACCAAAGCTTTGATCCGTGACATTTTTAAGAGAACAAAAAGACAAGACATGGGTGTAAAGAAAGTTTTTGTAAATTACACATTTGCTGAAAGACAGAAAATATAAAGTATATCCAGTATATTCAAAAATATAAAGAATACTTAAAATGAAACAACAGAAAACAACTTAATAAAATTGTAAATCTGAATTGGCTAATCACCAAAAAGATATATAATTTGAAAATAAACATGAAAAGATGAACTAAACATTAGTTACTAAAAAATCACAAAGTTAAAACAGAATTATTTTTTTTGTTATTTATTGTTAAACAATGTATTTCATACAGAATTCCATACATGGACAGAAGAAATCAGATCAACATCTATGAGTTTCTTTTCATGGGCCTCTCTGAACGGCCAGAGCAGCAACCTCTCCTGGTTGGGCTCTTCCTGGGCATGTTCCTGGTCACTGTGCTGGAAAACCTGCACATCATCCCAGTCATTGGCTCTGACATGCACCTCCACACCCCCAGGCACATCTTCCTGGCTAACTTGTCCTTCTTTGACAATCGTTTCATCTCTACAGTAATTACCCAGTTGCTAGATAACATTGGCTCAGGAAGTAAACTGATTTCTTATGGTGAAGGTCTTATACAACTCTATTTCTTTGGCCTATTTGCAGATCTGGACAACTTTCTCCTGGCTGTGATGGCACCTGACTGCTATGTGGCTATCAGCTACCCCCTCCATTATGCCATGACCATGAACTCCCAATGCTGTATCCTGTTGGTGGATGGGTCATGGGTGGTCACTACCCTCCATGCCCTAGTGCATACCCTCCTAGTGACCAGGCTTTCCTTCTGTGGCCCCAATATCATACCCCATTTCTACTGTGATTTCTACTGTGTCCCCCTCCTGAAGCTAGCCTTCTCCAGTACTTATGTGCATAACCTGATGTTCATCCTTGTGGCAGGAACACTGCTAATCGGACCCCCTGTCTGCATCCTTACATCTTACTTTTACATTGCATTGGCTGTTCAAAGAATTGATTCCCCAAAGGGTAAGCAAAGGGCCTTTGCCAACTGTTCCTCCCATCTCTCTGTGGTCTCTCTGTAAAACAGAATTATTATATACCACTATACGAGGCCTGTCCAGAAGGCATCCAGCCAAGTAATCTGAAAACAGAGACATTTATTGAAGAATCAAGAAACATTGTACACAGAACAATGACTCCTCAGACCCCTTCAAAGGAGGCACCTTGGGACCTCACACAGTTCTCCCAATCGCCATCAGCTGCCCCATTGTATTTTCCTGAATCTCATCAATGGTCTCAAATGTCTTCCCTTTCAAAGGTGATTTTAGTTTTGGGAAAAACCAAAAGGCACAGGGCATTAAATCTGGGCTGTAGGGGGCTGAGTCACCTGGGTGATTTGATGTTTCACAAAAAAAACTCTGCACAAGATGTGACACATGAGCAGGCACATTGTAGTGATGAAACTGCCAATCATCAGTTGCCCATAGCTGCAGCCTTCTGAATCATCCAATTAGATTCCGTGGAGGAACGTTCAAGCTTAACACAAAATTTGACAGAGATTTATTGCTATACTTGCTCAGTCGTTTTGAATGCTACATCCATATGGTACACAAGCTCACTCAACGGTGTCTACCGCACCCACTGACTGGTACAGTGAAGTTGTCATTGTTCACACATGCACATTCCAGTCCACTCTACTTGTCTGCCAGGTTATATCAATTTTCAAAAACCATCCTCATTATATTAGCAACAGCTGGACTTTTCCTGCACAGATCCCATACACTTACTAGAATTGCTAAAATAAATAATTTGATAATTTTAGGTGGTAGTAAGAAAATAGAGCAATAAGAACTCCCATCACTGCTGATCAGAACACAAAATATTACAACTTTACAAAAGAGTTTGCCAGTTTCTTATAAATTTAAGCTTACACTTACTATACAATTGAGCATTTGTACTCATAGAAAATTACCTACATGAACTAGAGATTTATGTTGGCACAAAAATTTACACACCAAAGTTTTTTAAAACCCTTATTCATAATGGCCCAAAACTAAAAACAACTCGAATGCCCCTGAACAGGAAAAATTGATAAACTGTGGTATTCCCACCTAATGCACTACTACTTAGAATAAAAAAGAACCAACTATTGATTCATGTACCAAAATAGGTGAATCATGAGTTCTTTTTATTAGTAAAAGAATACAGACATAAACACCTGAATTGTACATGATTCTATTTGTATGGAATTCTGGAAAAGGAAAAATGATAGTGATGGGAAACAGATCAGCTGTTGCAAATTTTCAGGATAATGGAACAGTTCCATACAGTACTGTGGTGGTGGCATGTGCATGCCTCTTAACTGTCAAAATCTGCAGAACTTCACATCACTAACAGCAACATTCACTATATACAAAATTTGAAAAAATTCCATAAGGTGTTGGAGGAAACCAGAATAGGATGCAGATTGTTTAAATATGCCTGTACTATAAATGTATGACATAACCTCACTGAAGAAGGTGAGAAGAAAGAAGATGACATAAAAAAACTTTGAAAACTCTTGTTTCGCCAAGATATTATAAGGCAAAAGTTGGGGGAAATGTCTGTAAAATGCATTTTTAGTGTTCTTTAAAAGTGCCAAGAATGGAGGATGCTAAAAGTGCCAAAACTGTCAGAATGGAGGATGCTAAAGAGACAGGATGACTAAATGCAATACATAGTCTCCTGGATTGGATTCTGGAGCACAGAAGAACATCAGGGGGAAAGATGGAAAAATCTGAATAAAGTCTGTAGTTTAGGTAATAGTATTGTACAAATATTAATTTAAAATTGTGATAAATGGATCATGGCTATGTAAGATGTAAACATTGGGGGAACTTGATTAAGGGAGTATAGGAATCTGGAGGGGCAGCTTGGGGTCAGTTTGTGAAGGTTTTGCTTATTTGTTTTTGTTATTTTTAATGACAAGGTAGCAAGGTTATTTTCTATTCAGGAACCAAATAGGCAAAGTGGGTTTCAGTAGGAAAACAGTATGACTATTTCTTAGCTTTCACGTTTATCTTTTAAAATTTTTTAAAGCCTTTTTAATTTAAAAAAAATTTATTTATTTTTAGAGAGAGGGGAAAAAAGGGAGAAAGAAAGGGAGAGAAACATCAATGTACAAGAGATACATTAATTGGCTGCCTCTCACATGCCCCCAGCTGGGGACCTGGCCTACAACCCAGGCATATATATGGACTGGAAATTAAGGTTGTGACATTTCAGTTCACAGGCCATCACTCAATCCACAGAGCCACACCAGCTAAGGCTACTTTTATTTACTTTTCTAAAAGATCACTCTTACTACAATAGGGAATGCAGAGTTGGGAAGACAGGCAATAGAAATAAATTTTTTTTAAAAATGACAACACAAAGATTTTTACTTATCTGGTCTTCATGGGGTTAGTTTTGATATTAGTACCTGGTCATTACAAAGTTCCAGGGAATAAAAGCATATTAAGGCTGAGATTTTAGAGATCCAGTTGGAACATCTTTACAAACCGGAAGCCAGAACCTAAAGGGATAAAGTCGTGGCTTCAAGATGAGCAGGAGATAATAACCAGGGTTCGTGACTTCTGGTCCAGTGCTCTTTCACCAACAGCACCTGCCAATTAGGCAGAAATGAGAACTGACCATAGGGCTGCATTTCATGCTGATGCTCTGTGTCAAAGCCCAGGAGGAGGATGACTGGAGGCCAGGGTTTGGGGACCCACTTAGCAAACAGTACAGGGGGAATGGACAGACTGTCTGGGCAGTTGCTCCTCTTGGTGTCTGGTAGAGGGACATGATATTATTACTGCTGATTTATATTTGGTGAGTGAGGCTTTTTAATACATATCTATACTCTACATGGATTCTTTTTGCCTGCATAGCACACTTGATCTCTTCTCTCAGAAGCAGTAATTCTCTTTTCCTTCCTTTTGGGAATTGCTCCTTATTGACTCTCCAAGTTTCCAACAGCACTGCCAGTCATAGTGGCCTGTCCCTCATGTCTAGGCTTAGCGCTCGAAGTGGAAAAGCAAAGCACTACACCTTCCTTAATACCTAATCTATGACAGACAAGAGTTCTTCCCAAGACTTTCCGGAAGTAGAATTGAATGTATGACCTCTCTTCTTCCCAGGCATCTGACCCATAAGTACATGACATGAGTCCCACTGGTGGTTATGCCTCCTGCCATGCGGAGTAACCGATACACTGGGTTCCCCCCAGGGGCAGACCCTGAGACAAGGGTGCCAGGGAAGGTAGTTTATTTGGCAAGTAAAGGAACACCAGTAGGGGGTGTGATAGTGACCCAGGGAAGAAAAGGATGGCAATGAAAGGAAAGCGACAGAACCGGTTACTACTGTGGATGATGCACAACCCAGAATGATATTTTAAAAATTTACAGCAGTGAAATTGAGGACTTCTGGACTGAGATGCATGTGCTGGCCTTTGGAGAACACTGTCTCTCTTGCTCTGAGGGAAAACAAATCATGAAAGATTACTTAGTAAAGATGGAATCAGAACAAGAGGGCACCTGACCCACTGGATTCCAATATATAATAGCTTCAGGCTGGGCAAGCAGGGCAACCACCTGCACAACAGAGAACACGTGCTCTGGCCCCTTGACTTGCCAAGCTGGGGAGTCCAGTCATGCTTCCCCTGGGCAGCTCTGAGGCCAGGCCCATTTCTGCTCTGAAACCCCTCAGGCTCTCGTCTGTCTGTCTGTCTGTCTGTCTCTCCCTACTAACTCCCAGTCAGGTGATTACTGTGTATCTGGCACATTTCCAAAGATCTTAATATGCTTTATCATATTAATTAATCTTCCAAATGGCCTTATGACTTAGGCACTAGTAGCATCCCTCTTACAGAGAGGAAGCTGCTGTGTAAGAGGGTATTCCGGCATGGCATGTGTTTATGTATTGTTTAGTGGTTTGGAGTATTGTTTTAAGTATTGACAGCATATCTTACCATTTCATTCAACATTGACTCTCACTTTTACTTTTTATTCTACCCCTGTATTTCTCTTCCAAATGCATTCTATTCTGCTTCTGACATGCCCCATTTTACACAAAGTAGGTTGTAAAGAGCACTTGATATAGAGTCTTAAGAGACTCAACTCTGAGACAAGTCTGTTTTACTAACAGCCTTTTAAACTAAGGCATTTTCCATCTCTAAGTTGAAGATCATGCTCTGCGTAACCCACCTCACACATCAAATATAGTCACAAATGTAAAGTGGCAATTGCTTTAAAATTAAGGTGTTGTGAAAACGGGAAAGGGAACGTGTGGAAGTGCAGAAGGGTGGGGTGGGAGAGGCAGTATGGCAGGGCTTGGAGCTCCCATTCCAGGCTCGGGGCGTTGTGCAAAACAAGTTGTGGAGTAAGCCGCTGACTCTGTAAGCTGGAAAGTGGTTTACAATTACTGAGGTTTGAAGAGGATCTGCTGAAGTGTTTTCCGAAAATTATTGACTAAGTACTTTATCGATCCTCATGTTTTCAACCTGCACACATGTATCGTGCTTAGCAGCATCTCGGCAAAAGCTTTAGTTAATTACTCACTAATTATAACATCATTAAATGGCTACAATGAGGCAACCATATAATTATGGAGCAAAAAGCTCTGAGCAATTACAAGGCTAGGCATATTGGTTGATTACAATAAATCTTAGTTCATTGTTGATATTTGTCACCTGCTAATGTATCTAATTTCTTTTTTTAATTTTATTTTAATCATTGTCTAATTTCTTGATGTATGTGATAAACCATGTGCAGCCTAGGAAATAGAGCATTTGGAGAGAAAGCCCGATTTAAGGGAGATATAAGAACATACATGCGATGAACTGGATGATAAGTTCACTTCTGTTTGTCTAGCATCATACAAGTTTAGGTGACTGCTCTAGAGGTTCTTCACTTTCAGGGCCACCCAGTATATGAGGGGAGACAGTCTTGTATGTACAAACAGTGAGTTAGCTTTGGTAGAGATGGATGCTGAATGTTATAGGAGCTTAGTGGGACAGTATGTTGATGGAACATTGGAGATGTTCCGGATCTTCATAAAAGTA